GATCTCTCGCCACAAGGCATTTTTGCCACCTCCTCAAATCACATTTGTTGCTCTTTTCTGCACCCTTGCTAAAAAGGTCCACTCTGGCTCAGCCACCAAGATGAGCTTCAAAATATTCATTTATAAAGCTTTATAGAGGGAATGCCTAAACTATAGTAAATATTCTCCTATTTATGTAAGCACTTCACTTCTTCAATTGGGTGAAGGTTCACTGGCTCCAAATTAAAATGTGCTCAGTTTCAAGATGGTTTGGGTGGTTTTTTTTAACTGCAAACTCACTCCAGGATCTGAGTCATCCCCAGGAAGAGAGAAAATCAACAGCCCAGACTCTGCCCTTGGTGACCTCCTTTCCATCACCTGCACATCATGCCTTTGGCAACAACCAGGCCACCCCCACCAAAGGATTTGGATCTGCATTTGGTGACGGATGCCAGTGCCGGAATGGAATCCAGCTCTCCAAGGCTTGAGATGCTAAAGTTTGTGGCTCTGACAGTGAGGCAGGCAGGTTGAAGATCTGCTGAGCAAGAAGATGCTATTTAAACAGTTCATTTTCAAAGCAGAGCAATATTTTTCTTGCAGCTGACAACAACCAAATGCAGAGCCTTTGGATGGAGAAAAGTAACAGTCTTAACACAGAGCGTCTGGCACTACCACAACATGGAATCTCTTCTGCAATCAAGAGATCAGGTTGCCTACCAACCATAATAATCTCCTTGCTGAGCAATGTGTGCTCAGAGCTGCTTGGCTCCACTGATGCCTTGGTTCTGGTTTTGTAGTGAAGAGAAAAAGTTGAAGCCTACCTCTTCCACTGAGGCTGGCAGAACTCAAGCTACATGATCATGCAGAGAAAGGTATGTGCTTCCCCTCTCCAAGTAGGCAGAGATCCACCGCGAGTAATGCTTCTTATCCTCTCCTGTTGGCTAGGAAACTCCATCCCATCCTGGACTCCGTTATTCCCACCTTTGTCACTTCTCAGTTGAACTCCAGCAACGATCACATACCTGGGCACAAAGCCTTCAGTGCTCAGGAAGCTCCAAGTACAGACAGCTGCTGCAGCACATCTGCTCAGCCAGGCAGGCTTCCACGCAGACATCAGCCTTGTCCTCCACACCCGTAGATCTAAGCCTTGGACTCTGTCTGCAAGGCACTCCGTGGTCAGGGTCCAAGACATTTAAGAGCCATGATGAAGAACCTGATTAACAGATCTGCTCCTTGGGCACAAAGTTGCTCTCAGCAAGAAAGGGAAAGCTCGCCTGTGCAGGAGACAGAACTCAGGGATAGATCCGTGGCTGTGGAATGAACTTCCCCAGGACCAAGGACCATCATGAACCTCCCCAACTTCCATTGCAAGGCCAGGCACGTTGAACTTGCTTTTTCTGACCAACATTTCTATTTAAAAAAATCCGGGACCACAGAAAAACCAGTCGGGGTCTGAACAAAAGTGAGTCCCTGTCTGAGAAGCAGAAAGATACTCCCCACATTTCCTTCACACACCAGAGCCTAGGGGGGGCCAGACTAGTAGATTGTGTGGTCCCCCCAGGCTCTGGAGTTCAGTGTGTGGCAGAAAAGCAGGCTTGGGGTGTGGGCTCTAGGCAGGAGGGAGGGTGCAGGAGTGGGTTGGAGGCTGGTGGGTCTTGGAAGGCAGTAGGGTGTAGGAATGGGCTGGGGGTGAAAGAGCTAAGAGGGTGGTAATGTGCAAGAGTGGGCTGAGAGGGAAGTAAGGTGCAGAAGTGAAGTGGGGGTCAGGAGTCTGCATGGGAGGAGGGTGCAGGAGCCTCTTTCTCCCCCTGCCTATGGGTTGGAGCTGGACCTGGCTTGCCTGACTCTGGGCCACGAGGCTTGGGGCATCCCCGCACTCAGCCAGTGCTGGCCCTCCAGCCCTATGCGGGGAACTGGAGTGCCAGCACCAGCTGCCCAATGCTGGGGGTGAGCCCTGAGCCTCGGGGGTCAGATCCAGGTAAGCCGGGGGGCAAATCTGGTCCCCAGGCCTTCTGCTTCCCAACCCATGAAAGACTTCAGTAACTCAGCCACAGGTTAGGAGGGTCTATTACAGGAGTGCAGGGGGAGGGTTCCTGTGGCTTGTGAGGTGCAAAAGGTCAGACAAGATGATCAGGATGGTCCTTTCTAGCCTCAAAGTCCCTGAATCTATAACTATTGTCCAGGGTGAGGGGTTCCCAGGCACCACAGCAATATGTGGGCCCGGGGAACAAAGAAGTAGCCAGGACAATCTAGTGGATCCCATAACTGATAGATACTGCAGTGATAAGGGCATGGGTGTATCAGACAGACAGACACTGCTTGAGCAGTCAGGGGCTGCGCTGGATCACAGCACAGCCACTACAACAACACAAAAGCAGCCATTGCAGACACCTTCCCCACCCGTTTTATTTACTGCGTGTCCTTATTGGGTTGTCCGGCTCACAGCTGTGCTGGCACCTGACACTCTGTCTCCCTTCACCAGTAAGCGGCAAAGATAATTCTGAAAGCCAGCTGTGTCTTGCTGCTGAGCACCGAGCTGCACATTAACACGTCCTCCGGCCCTGCTCGCACAAGGAATGATGCAGCCCAGGCAGCCAGACAGACGTGGAGGGGGAAGCCTCGCACCTGTCCCCTGCGGAGGAATCCAAGGCACGAAGGCCCAGCTGATCAGCGGCCCCTTGCAATGCAGGAGAAGTTCCTTGTGGTTGCAAAGTGCTTCGCTCCCCATATATGAGAGTGCACACAGGGAGTGCGTGTGTGCCCGCTGAATGCTCCCTTCCCTCCCAGACATTTCACACTTGTATATGCACCCGCAAAGTGCTTCCCCCCCCACATGTGCATGCAAAGCACTCCCCCTGCACTCTCATGTGAGCACCATACACACACAAGAATACAAACCGTTCCCTCATGCACACACCTCTGCCTGCAACCAGGTGACTAGATAGCAAGCATGAAAAATTGAGATGGGATAATAGACATCAATAAAACAAAGCCCCAAATATCAGGACTATCCCTACAAAATCAGGACTTTTGATCATCTCAGTCTGCGCGCGCACACACTCACTCACTCACACCTGCAAACTGCCCCCCCACTGCACACATTCACTCGTGTGTGTCTGTAAAGTGCTTCCTCTACACTCAAGCCTGCAAAGTGCCCCCTCTACACGTGTGCCTATAAACTGCTTCCTCCTACACACACACACTCAATCACATGTGCACCTGCAAAGTATTCCCCCCCAGATATCCACCTGGCATGTGCAAATTGCTCCCCCATCCACACATGTGTCTGCAGGCTTCTCCCCCTATAAATATCTTCCTTGATCCACTTAAAATCCTCCCTTCCACAGCAGCCGTACAAGGGGCTATAGCAGTAGACTCTGAAATCAGCTGAGCGTTATGATCAGGGCTCAGACTTGCTCCCGCTTCACCATGATAGTCAGAGAAGGGAGAGATCTACAGCCACCTCTCCACCCACTCCAGTGCAAAGTGATTTGAGGACAGAAATACCAAGTTATCCCAAAGAACAAAGAGGGAAATGTCTCAGGGGGCTACAAAATTGTTGTCCTGTGGCTCAGGATGACTAGGGTCGCCAGATGATTTCAACAAAAATACTGAACACACTTGCCGTTACGTCACAATCTACATTACATCTGATTTAGAAAATACCAGACATTTATATTTATATTATGTTTCCCGAACAGAAAGCTCAAATGCTGGACTATCCGGTTCAAAACCGGACACCTGGCAACCCTAAGGATGACGTTTGCCAGCTAGTGAAAGAAATCTAGAAACCAACAGAGTCTGATGCTCAGGCAACAGCCTCTGTTCTGCCCCATTCTCCAAGACCCACAGCATAGCTGATGGACAGCACCTCAGCTACGGCACTGATACCAGTGCTCTGTACTATCAGGCAGCACAACCTCTGCAAGCGCCAGTTAGGATACTGACTATCTAGAAGAGTTCAACTTGCACCTGATGAGTAATCCTCCTATGGCTGCCTGTGCCTGGGTTCTAAAGCATTCTACAGACATGAAAGAAGTCACAAAGCCTCTGTGTAGGTTGGCTTTCTCCCACCTTTTTACAGGTGGAGAAACTGAGGCCCTCCCTGACCATGCCCAAGGACACACAGAAAGGCAAAGGCAAAGATGGGAACAGAACACAGGAACTCCAGCTTCCAAGACCACTTGATCCTCACTCCCCTCAAGAAGGAAGGAATAGAAACCATGATTCCTGGCTCCTTGTTCTCTATACTCTCCACTCTAACCACTAGACATCACTCCCTCTTCCATTGCTACAAACAGAATCCAGCAATCCTGAGGCCCCCAAACCCACATTTGCCACAAAACTGAAACCTAGATGTTCTTGGAGATTAAATCATAGCCTTTTTTTCTCAACTTTTACTACCCTGGTAAATCATTTATTAGCATGACCTTTTAATAGCCCCACTAAAGGCTTACAGCCCTGCTGTGACAATCATTAACTAATCAATGTTTAAAGAATTAGCTAATTAGCCCTTAATTGAAACAAAAACTTTCAGCAAACAACTCTTGAGAGACAAAGTAGGTTGTACTACAAATCAAATACAGAGAACAGCTGTTTCACAAGCAAGCCAGTGGAAGGGAGGGGCCTACCAGGCATACCATGCACTGCCCTACAGTGATCCTGAAGGCAGGGAAACTGCAGACACATTATGCCTGATAATCCACCATAGGTTGGACACAGAATCTGCCAGGTCAGCTTCTTTGCCCTGGGTTATACAGAGCTATTGGGAAAACAGAATTATTATCCACTGAACATTTGGATTTCCTTCTCCCTCCCTCCCACTGCCAAATTCAGATACTAAAAACATTTCAATCAAAAATGGAAATATTTTAATTTGGAAGTCTCATGGAAATGAGGTTTGGATTCCTCATGCTCCCATTCTCCTCCCTAGGCCAGCCTCTCTGGTTAGAGGACATCTCCCACGATTCAGCAGCCTCCTCTCCTGCAGAAGGCATGCAGTTCACACATCATGAGACTACCTGGCTTTGGTGCATCCAGGGAAATGTAGTTCAGCTGTTTCATGCTCCCATTCTCCTCTCTTGACTAGGCTTCCTTATCAGATTACATTTCCCATGATGCAGCACAATGTCCTTCTAAAAGAGGGGAGGTGGTGTATCACGGAAATTCACAGCCATGATGCATCAAGAAAAATGAAATCCTGCGAGGGGAGCTAGCAAACAGAGAAGGGGACATGAGGCAACTAAACTACAATTCCCATGAGACAGTGCAGCTGCATTTCCAAATAAAAATATTTTAGGTTTAGTACTTTAGATTTTAGGCACCTGGTTTTTTTATTTAAAAATCTATTTAGTTAAAAAAAAAAAAAAAAAGCTTTGACAACAAACTTTCTGCCAGCCCTAATGTTCAAACTATGAAACCCACTATGGAAATAAAATTAGGTCTGTCCTTTCTTTACAATACAGCCTGAAAGGAGCTTTTCCAAACACACCTTTTCTGTTTAAAATATCAGATCTTGAGATACAGCTTCTGCTTTGCCAGAAGTCATTTTGGAAGATGAGGAGGTCTCTTTGGAAGCTCTCAGCCTTTCAATGAGAGACTGATCTCCCATAGTGGGAACTCTCTCAGCTCCTAACTGAATTGGCTGAATGAAAATGAACTTAGCTTTAAAAAAAAAAAAAAAACCTGCAAGTCTTCAAAAAAAAGAGTACAGACCCTAGTTTCCTGCTTAAATAGGAGTGGGCCTGGAGCAGCGTTTCTCAAAGTGGTCCACAGACCCATTCTGAGAAAGCTGCTACCGAGCCGCTCCAGATTGTTTATTAACCAGTGCCGCAGCCACAGAGCCTCGCAGCTCCCATTGACTGCGGTTCGCCATTTGCAGCCAAAGGGAGCTGCAGGAAGCAGTGTCCTGGGTCACTCTGCTTCCTGTGGCTCCCATTAGCAGCAAACGGTGAACTGCAGCCAGTGGGAGTTGCTAGGCTCCGTGGCTGCAGAGCCAGGAAGCAAACCGGTGTGGCCCGGTAGCAGCTTTCTCACAGTGGGTCCACAGACCACTTTGAGAAATATTGGCTCAGAGGAAACAGCCCTGTGGCCTAATGGGTAGAGCGCTGGACTGGGATTCAGGATTGTTCCCAGCTCTGCCACTGGTATGTTGGATGACTATGGGAAATTCGCTTCCCCCCCATGTCTCAGCTTCCCCACCTGTAAAATGGGGCTAGCGATACACCTTTGTGAACTGTTTTGATGACAAGTGCTACAGAAAAGCTGGGTATAATTATCATCATCAGTTATCCTCAAATGGTCATATACATGTGGCTCAGCATTAAGAACTGCACTACTGTGGCAGCCTTAGGATGCGGTCTCTGAGCCTAACGCAAGACAGATGAGCCAGAGCCAAACATGCCCCTGTAGATTTGAGGCCCCAGCCAGTTTCCATTCGGAGCCCAAGCCCCTGGCAGAGCTAAGCTTGAGGTTAGAAAGCAGCTGTCAGTTTCAGAGAGAAGGAAGGAGCTGGGAAAGTATGGCAGCATGGGGATCAAGTCAGCCCGCCAAGGAGCAGAAAGTTCCTGGGGAAGGTACAAAGCTCTCAGCTTGGCAAGATGCGAGCTGGGTACCCATAGCGGTGAGAGGCAGGAGGGACAACCCATGTCCGGGGCTGACAAGGAGACCTGCAATGTGTCACCAGAGAGGCAGTGGGGCAAGCTGTCCTGTGAGGAGAGCTCTTCCCACCATGCCATCCACTTCTGAGCTCAGGGAAGAGCAGCATGATCTGGCCGTGGGGTGTATACTAGATGGAACTAAGGAGATCTGGATTCTGTTCCCAGCTCTGCCATTGACTCGCTGCGTGACTTCAGGCAAGTTTCTCTCCCACCCTTTGTCCATTTAGACTGTGAACTCCTCTTCAGAGCAGAGTGTGTCTTGCTATGTGCTGGTGGGATGCCTAGCCTGATGGAAGGCCATGCAGCATCCTGTCCAACAGGACCTCATTTCGGTTAAGGGGTCTGTGCAACATTCATCCCAACAGGACCCCCCCATCTTGTCTGGGACCTTCAGTTGCTACCATTATACCAATTAGTAACAAGGTATTACAGCAAGAACATGCTCTGGCAAATTTAACATGCAGCAGCAGTGCCCCATTCTCATACCACCAGGTTGCCAAGTTCAAAGTTAAACACAGAGACCTTGATCCATAAACTAAATCTCCATCATGGGGGCAGGACTGGTCCTCCCCACATCCAGATGGCACCATCCTCTCCAGTTAGAGACCACTGTGAGAACAAGCCCCACAGTCCCACCAGCTAAAGGCCAACATGGACCCCACTACGCACCAGGCCCTCCCTTCTCAATAGGCAGATCAGTTTTCTCCACCAGCTAAAGGCCAACATGGACCCCACTACACACCATGCCCTCCCTTTTCAATAGGCAGATCAGTTTTCCCACTGTAGAGTGCATCTTTTCCCCTCGTCCTGTTTGGTCAATTCCCAGTTGCAGCTACCTAAATCAGACCCTGAGCTCTAATCACAGGGTGGAAGCCCAGACACATCATGCCCCCACAGACAGAAGTTAGCAAGAGATGTCGCCCTCCCAGTACATACAAGAACTAGGCTCCCTTACAAACCTGAAGACCAGCCTGTCCATTACAGATCAGTACCTGAAAGAGGACACAACCAGTATGATCAATGGTCTCAGACATTCTGAGTGGTCCACGGGATCAGGGAACGGGTCCCATCATGGAGATTGGGAGAACAGATCAATCCCAGGCTGTCAGGAAGCACATCACAAGAGGCCTTTCTAGACGTTCACATCTGCAATTGAAACAGATGCCAGTAACCCTGGAGTGATAATTACCAGGCAATGACTCTTCACTAATTTGAGATTTATGGCTGAGATTGTGTAACTCATACAAAGAGAGCCCTAAAGGGCTGCACACTCAACAACTCTGCTGGTTTTAACTGTAACCTTGCCCACTCAGTATCCCCAAGCACTCACAAAGATGCTGTACAAGAGAACCATGCCTGCTAGTTCAGTCGGGTATGCCAATGGGTATGGGATGATACAAACTACACACCTTCTTCCTGAGGCACAATCCTGTACTAATCTACCCACAGCAATACAGACCAGTTAATCCCTCCCCTGCACAATAAACTGTTCCATCCCAATAGAAACCAGTGCAGGTCCTATACTCTACCTACCACAGCCCCATTTCCCCAACATAGACCATTATCCAAATAGCCCACATACTTGTCCATCCTTCCCAATATAGCCCAGTCTGCCTCCTCATTACAACAGCAGAAGACCCACACCCAGACCATACTGAGGGATATATATAGAGGCAATAGGAACTAAAGATGACTCCATATTATGGGGATACAGATTAGTCAATATTCGGATGGCAGAAGACCAAGCAGTCTATACTCCATATTATGGGGATACAGATTAGTCAATATTCTGAAGAAGACCAAGCAGTCTACAATAGCTCATAATGAAGAATAATGCCCCTATTCAGAGAGGTGCAACTGCTGTGGCTTCTAATCAATACATTAGTCCTCACTAAAGTGTCAGAAGGCCAAGGACAGATCTATACCAGGAGATAGATACTAATCCATATTAAAGTTAGAGAATCTAAGGTCTGGGTCAATATTGCAGAGTTACAGGCCAATCTCAAAGAGGGAAGGGAACTGGGGCCACAAATTTCTCTATTTTCTAAGAGGAGGAGGTATAATTTATCAGAGAGGGAACTAAGCCATGTACCATCAGAGGTGGTTCTAATCTCTACTGGAAGATAGAAACAAGTCCACAATGTAAGGGAAAGCAGATACAGACCACTCTCCCACAACACTCCCTGCCATATAGTGCCCCAAAGGGTAGTAGGGTCTCAGACAGATTTGTATTAGGGCTGCCCGGTCCAAACCCTGTGGTGGAAGGAGAGATAGGTTTTATTGGGCATCTGGGATTGGTCCATATGGGTCATACATCAAAATCCTTACTGGGAGTCAAAGGGTACCCTGGTGTGGTTCCTTGAGAAGGAAATTTAGACATTGGTGTGCTCTATATTAAGGAGACTCCCAGGCCCCACAATGGGCAAAAAGGAGATGGATTTGTATGGGGCAGTTTGGACTGGTCCATATAAAGCCATACACACTGGTAATACACAGGGGAGCCCAAATTAGTCCCCTAGAGATGCAATAACCTCAAATATGGACTAATCTAGGCAACACAGCTCACTTGCTGACATAGACTGGTCCATATGATGTGATACAGGCTAGCCCCCAGAAAAAGCATGGACTAACCTGAAAGCCTGGCATTCCAGAGCCAGCCCAGCTCTTGCCAGGGGCTGTCCCAAATCAGACAATCAATGGTACACATGTGGCAATTCAGCCCAGTCCATACAGGGATGACAAAGAAATCTGGTCAATACAGAGAAGGAGAGACTAGTCTATATAGAGCCATACAATCTAATACATGCCAGGGAAAGGGGAGCCCTGCCAAGTCCTTGACAAGTGTGGTCCATAAAGGTAATACAGACTGGTTCAAGGGTGGGGGGGTGGAGAAGACTGGACCAAACAAGGAGGGAGAAATCAGCACTGATACATATGAGGAGATACAGCCTGATCATCATGAGGAAGGGAGGGAGGAGCTGACAATACAGTACAATAAAGTACATATACAGAAGGGAGCAAGTGGAATATACAATAAGGAGAGGCCTAGCCCTGGTCATAGAAACATCAGACTGGAAGGGACTTCAAGAGGTCATCTAGTCCAGTCTCCTGCACTCATGACAGGACCAAGTAGTATCTACAACCTGACTCATATGCTGGGGGATAGAGTGTCCATCAAGGGGAGGCAGATCATTCAGGGGAGTAGGGTGTCCAGCACAGGCTCATTCAGAGGGAGGGATTCATCCATATAGAAAGGGGGGACCAGGTCCATATGGGGAATGGATATGTGTGCAGCCTTAGTCCGTGCAGTGGGAAGGGACGGTCCATAGGACAGAAAGGGTGTACAGCCTCAGTCCATGCAGGGCGAAGAGCAGGTCCCTTTGGAGGCAGGGGCTATACAGCCCGGGTTCATGCGGGAGGAAGGGGCTGGTCTCTTTGGAGGCAGCGGGTATACAGCCCCGGTTCATGCAGGAGGCAGGGGC